TATATATATATATATAGTAATTTTACTTTACATTTTACAATATTACTATTTGATTTATATATTTATTAACTTAATTTTTATTAATATTTGAAATTATTTATGTTGTGTTTTCTAAAAGAGGTAATCATAATCATATTAAATTAACTCACATAATTCTCTAAAAGATGTAATCATAATCACATTAATTTATTTGATGATAATATCCCTAGATTTAATTTTAACAATGGACTATTTGTTGTCAAAAGTGAAAGTCAAGGTATTTACGTGTTTTGGTCGAATTGAAAATTAAAAATCAAAAGGAGTACTAGTTCAATAGTTCGAGGACCATTTGTGGTATTAACTCAAATTAAGTTACTTATACGGAATAATATAATACTTTTTTAGAAAAATATAGTATTTTTAAAGCAAAATATAAAAGTAATACATTTTTCTTTAAAAGTATTACATTTCTCTTAAAAAGAACTTTATTTCTAATTAGTATTACATTTTTAGTATAAATATTATAATTTAATGTTGATCAGACTCGTCTGACATAGATTCATAAAACGGTCTCACACAAATTTTTGTTTATATAATATATTTTATTAAATTTGTCCTCAAATTTAGAAATCTTTAAATAAATAATGAATAAATGTCATTTCTGACAAAACTTATCATATGCTAATTGTATCTCGAACATTCTCCATTTCAGCTGTGTACACTGCATTCATATCAGTTGATGGAAGAAGTCTAAAATTGACATCACAACAATTTGTAATTTGATGGGTTTTAATGATTGCAATTTGATTCTTTCAAAAGTATAAAATATTTTGTGTTCGTCTAAATCAAAGGACGGCCGTCAAAAGCTTAAAATTTCATCCCAGCCGACAAGAAATATGCCCGATTAAGGTGGGATTAAATACTAATCTTGGTTGTTCAGATTTAATCCAATTGAATTTAATATAGCTTTTTAGTCATCAACTTTAAAAGTGACAAATCTTGGTCATTCAAGTATTGATTTTAATTTGTATCAATTTTAGTCATTTTTGGTAGATTTTTTGTTGAATGCCAATTTGGGGCAAGGTAAAAAAAAAAGAAGGTAATTTCGTGACCCAAATTAAGATACACAACAAAAATATATGTTTACTAGTGACTCTTTGAAAATTTTAGGATTTCCTAAATTTGGATAGTTTAAGTTTTTTTTTTTTTTTCTACCAGGACTATGTGGTCTAATGGTATCCGGGTTGGATTTTCAATTGGAAGATTATGAGTTCAAGCCTCAGTGGAGGCGTTATTGGTTCTTTGTGTTTCAGTAGGTTGAGAAATTATATGAACAGATACTACAATGTAATAGAGCCAGTAACTTTCAAAAAAAAAAAAAGTTTTTTTTTTCTTTGAATTTGGGATAATTTAAGGGGATTGGATAATAAAACTACGTTTTTTTTTTGTTTTTTTTTTTTTTTTACTTTATCTTAATTAAATTGTCATTTGGTAAAAAGTTGGCGATTGACCAAAAGTAGCAAAAATCAATAGTTGAAAGATTAAAATTGATTAATTTTAAAGTTGAGATCAAAATGTCAAAACCACTATGCTTACAAATTTTAAACATTGTTAACCCTTAATATTCTTATCTTACTCATATTACAATGTTGTTTAGTTTATTTGATATTGGTGCGACTCAAGTGCTATACTAAGTCGAATTAACATTATGGCTCAATGAGCTACCAAATGAAAGATTCTCCAATACTCATATTTGATATATTGTTGCATCTTTTTGTTTAATGTATTGTCACATTTTTATGGTAACTTTTATACTAGTGAATTGCACATTTATACATCTTATTACAACTAACTCAACTTAGAAATTTAATGATCATATTTTCGAATTTAAATTGCAATCCATATTTAAACAATCTCTCACTAAAGGAGACCACATGTAGTGTAGACCTAAAAGCACTATTTCAATAGGCCTATCATTATATTCATTTGATATTTGGCATCTGGTAGTTGATATTTGACTTCCGGTTACCTACACTTTATCAATGTTATTAATTATAATGTTTGGTACTTTTTTTTTTTTTTTTGAAATTAATGTTTGGTACTAATTAAGCTATAGCATATAAAAATGTACTCATGTTTTGATACGTTCAACCAAAAAGTGGTTTATATGCAATGAAGTAGTTAGCACCCGAAAAAAAAACAAACAATAAGGTACTCCCTCCGTCCTGATTGTCTCATTTGCTTTTTGCATGATTTTTAATACAACATAACAAATGTTACTAACTTTTCAATTTTGTCCTCAAATGTAGGTGTTATTTGTACAAAGTACAATTGTACTTACCTCTAGAAATTTGAAAACGCAAAAGAGTAAATTAGGAAATGTAAAGTGATAGTCGTTAGGTTCAATTTTGGAAAGATGACACTATTTTGGGACAAACTAAAAAAGAAAGTAAGACAAGTAAAATGGGACGGAGGGAGTAATTGGTAAGATAATTGGTTCGGTAACCAAAAAGAAAAAAAAAAATAAAATCAAATTCTGAAAAACACACAACAAAAAAAAAAAAGTAGATTTACGCGCGAGAGTTACGCCTCACATGCGTAAGGCGCATCTCTCTTTCTTCCCACCATGGGACCCACACCACTGCAAAACCTTGGATGCTTGCAAGATGCCTTCAAGAACTCTCTCTCCTCCCCTCTCTCTCTTCCAACAAAGTAATTCCACATAAAAAACTATGCAAAATTTCCTTAATGGGGTTGCTCTAAGAGCAACATTATCAGTTGGGGAGAATGTGGGGTTATTGTAAGAGGGATTAGAAAGAGAATGTGGAAGGCGAGAGGAAAAAAAAATAACAACAAAAAAACAAAATTGCCCCGGTTGACATTAACTGCCAAACACTGGATAGCAAAATTTCAAAAAAAAAAAAAAAAAAAAAAATTAAAACGACGCCGTTTTGCATCTGGGTACACAATGCAACGCGCACCGTGGTGCAAGATATAAATTGCCCCGGTTGACATTACTACCTACAACTTTAGATGCGGATCCAATGAAGTTTCTCTTTGTTTTCATTTCTTACAAGATTGTAGGAGCCCAAATTTAGTGAATAAAACATATATGGCAAATTATGCACTGGAAACGTGTTCACCATGACACAAGGGTATATCCATAATTTTTATGCTGTAGATTCATAATTTTGTATAGTATAGAAATTATGAATCTACAGTATCGAAATTATGAATCTACAACATAGAAATTACGGTATAGAAATTATGAATCTACAGTATAGATGTTATGAATCTACAATATAGAAATTCTGAATCTACAACATAGAAATTATGGATCTACTCCGTGTTCACCATGCGCATGGTGAACACGTTTCCACAACATAACGCCTCGGCAAATTATGGCAAATTATGCGGTGCAACCGTTGTGCGCATGAAATTGGATTCATAATTTCCATACTATAGATTCATAATTATTGAACTTTATATTCACAATTACAAAACCCTGTGTTCATAATTTTCAATGTTCATATTCCCAATTGTTGAACTCTGTATTCACAAATCACATAACTATATGTTCATAATTTGATAACTATACAGTATAGAAATTATGAATCTACAGTTTAGAAATTATGAATCTACAGTATTAAAATTATGAATCTATAGTATAAAAATTATGAATCTAATTTTGTGCGCACCTTTCATGGTGCACACGGTTGCACAGCATAACACTCTGCAAATTATACCATGAGTCATAATTGACATTGCAATGTTGATATAAATATTTATTTTTAATATATACTGAAGATCTATTTTTAACGTACTATAGATTCATTTTTTAGTAGTACATGAAATTAAAAAATATAAAAATGAATCTACAATACTTTAAAAATGAAATTTCAAAAAATAAATTTGTAATATACTAAAAATGAACATTCAGTAAGTTAAAAATGAAGATGCATGTTATTGTAATATGAAATAGTCTACATTGCAATGTGATTATGTGAATCATGACTCATAGTAAAATGATTGAAGATATAACTTACCACGCACTGACTACACTTGCGGTGATTCTTGGGCATGACAATCATGAATCACCTTTGCTAGTACTATTCTACTCCTTGCAGGTTTTACTATGCAAGTAAAATTACTTACAAGTGCACCTACTTTTACCTACGTGTACATATAATTTTACTTTGTTAATATTCATTGATCGAGTGCACCTACTTTCACTTACAAGTGCACCTACTTTCACCTACAAGTGTACCTACTTTCACCTAGGTGCACCTAGTTATAACTATATGTGCACATATATTTATTAACTATAAGTGCACGTAGATCTGACACGGGGCGCGCGCAGGATTGTTCGCAGTTCTCTCCTGGGCCCACAGTTCGCACCTGAATGCTAGTATATATATATATATGTATATATATATATATATATATATATATATATATATATATATATATATATATATATTTGCAGTGAAACAGATATAATTGATGCATACCATCACATCATAGCAGTTGGGTAGTATAGCTTGCATGTTAATGATTCTTTTCACAAATGAATACACATCAATGATATCGACTGTGTAGCTATCTGCAAAGGGTAGCAAGAAATGTCAACTTCAATTCTAAAGAATGATCATCAAGCAATCTCTCTACCATTGCTGCTCTCTCTCTCTCTTTTCTCTTTGAAACTAAAACTGGCAGTATAAAAAATTTAGAACATCCTGATTGAACCACTCTGTACGGTAAGACATAAAGACCAAATCCCTAGCTAATGCATGGACTACTTAGTTCGCAGAATGTCTAACACAAGAAAATTTAAAGCGATTAAATTTAAGACAGAGGCCAACTACTATATAGTGTGACACCTCGGTTACCATTCTAAATAAGTGGTCACGGGATCGAACTCCAGTGGTGGGGGCATTGATTCTTTGTGCTGAAAAAGATTGATAAAATATAGAACAGATACTATCTTGTAAATCATGAGTGTTTAAAAAAAAAAATAATAATAAGGCAAAGAGACTGAATCCCTAGCTAATGCTAGTCTCTCATTTTGTAATTCTATATTTGCATTTTACCTACTTGAACCATTGTACATAAACAAATGAAAACACTGCTACCGGTTTAGACAAGATGAATCAAAAGCCGATTCATGTATGGCTCGTCTTGTTTCCTCATCGACTTGTGTGTGAAGGTAACTGAAGCGTATGGAGTATAAAAAAGCATACGAGAGAGAGAGAGAAACTGACACTGTTCCGTGGGGGTTCTGAGGTAACGCTACAACCTCCTGCTGCCAGTGTTCAACTCGGAAAAAAATGATTTAGCAGCTTCGTATGTAGACCAGCAAATAGCAGCAGCAGGAGCATGGAAGAGCATCCTCGGCATCCAACCCCTCATCAGACCGCGATATCCATCTTTTTTAACTATTGTTTGAAGGACATCCTTGATAGAACCGTTTTTAAATCTCTCACAGCCACACACACCCTGCAACAAGCCATCATATTTCATGAGGATGTTCATAGGAAAAAGTAAAACTTCACAGAGAAGAGAACATTAGCCTATGCCATAAGGCAGTACAAACTCGAAAACGTCTCTAGATTAAAAGCATAACATTTTGCATATGTAGATCAAAGGTGTTGAATTTGGAAGATGGAATGGCCTGACGAGTGGAGAATAACACCCCACCCGCCAGTGAGGCGGAAGCAATAATGAAGAATCAAGGAATGGAAAATGTATAGATAATGCATGATTCTGTATTATCTGTCTGTGTTTCTAATAAAGAAACATAGTACATATATATATATATATATATATATATATATATATATATATATATACACAAACACATAAATGTAAGTAACTACCCATAACTAACACCTATTCATAAACAGACACAACCATATAGATAAACCTAACTCTTTATTTTTCAACAAAAGGTTTCAAGAATCTTACTCAAATCCATGGCAAAATAGAGTAAAGTCAAAGGCAAAGAAGTGAGTATATCTATAGGCCATAACGCAACTATAAGTACACTATGTCCAATACAAACAAGGATTAGACTAGCATTCCTATGGTCAGTAATTACATCACATAAGCTCTCTTGCAGTACCAAATGTGATAGGAGATTTGTAAAACCTATATGCCTCAAAAAATGGATTCTAAACCATAATCACTAGTGCAAATGTGCTGAGTTATCCATTGCATCAGAGTGAGAACCTGAGAAGTCAGAACTTTCTCAATAAAACGCAAGTGTTCAGCAGTACAAAACACCTAAATCCCATCCATATATTTCATTTACCGAGAACGCCTGAGTTTGCATCATCACCCCACATAATGCAGATTTCTATCGTTTCTATTCCTCATTAACCCAACCCAATACTGTCCTAAGCATAACTACCAAATCCCACAAATTAATGCTTATGCTGTTTGAAAGAATATAAATAGTGCTGAATATGTGAAAGTCATTGAGATATTTTGTCAGTCACAAACTCAGGTTATAATAGGTTTTTGAATTAATACCATTTTTGTCTCTCTATTGTAGTGATATTGTCCCATTAGTTCTCAATGATCAATTTAATCAAATTTAGCTAATGATCATAGTGACATTTTCACATTTGGTTCTCTCATCAAGTTATTATTCAAAAATATACGAAGAACGGCACATGCCACAAAACCAAGGCCAATATGACACTACACAACAATTAATTTCATCTTTAGTTCCTTGATTATACTGACATTTTTATGTTTAGTAAACTACTCGAAATTATGGAATTTCCGACCACCTGAAAGTGAACTTAAATCAAGTTGAAAGAAAAAAATGGTCGAAAATAGCAACCGAAGGTTTTTCCGGATATCAAAAATGGTCGAACAAGGCTTTCAACTTGATTTAAGATTAAGTTCAGGTGGTTGAAAATTTCATAATTTCCAGCCGTGGTAATTGATTATTAACTACATCAAATCAAATGGTTAGTTCTTCTCACATGTCACACATGAATTGAGAAAGTGAGGACAAGCATAAAGGATTTCTAAAAACATAAAAATGCAGACTTTCAGGGTGTGTTTGGTTGGTGGGTTTTGCCCAAAGGAATGGGTATGAAAGTGATTGTTGTTGTTTGGTTGATAGATTTTTAGAACACTACTATGGGTTTCGAATAACCCATCAATTGAAAAATTCATACCCAAATATTATAAGGGTTTCATTCCCTTATTCATTCTCAAGCACTAGTATTAGTAACCATTCCCATTCCACCCTACTACCAAACATGTTAAATATTCTCACCAAAACCCATTATCATTACCAAGTATTTGATACCCATTCCGATTCCGATTCCGATTCCGATTCCTATGGGCGAACCAAACACACCCTCAATGTTCCCCAAGTTTCAGAAGGAATCAATAATTTGTATTTTACTGTAAAAAATTGGATAGAGCAATAAAGGATAGAATAATACCTGACATTGGAGTTGAGTCTTCACTACATCAAATGGAGTGGTAAACAATGCTGCAAAACCTCCGGCAGCTGCCCCTGCAGTGGCATGAACTATCAACCGCTCATCCCTTGCATTTTCCGGCGAAATCTCCATCAGTCCCCGCTTTGCGCCCTCGTAAGTGGCAAAATGCACCGCCGTGTAAGGCGCATTCATGAGCACAGTGGTTTTATAGGAGGCATAAAACGTCTTAAACCCCTCCTCCCTCAATACCCTCCTTACGCAATCAAATACCCCCTTGTACGGACTGCTGCTGAGCTGCAGTCTCTGCTTCACCATATCCATGGGCGTGAAGACGGCGTCGCTGGCCACCGTGGCGCAGACGCCCGACGCGGAATGGGCGGCGGAGTTACTCGGATTTCCTCCGGAAAACGCCTCCTTACAGAGCTCATAAACGGAGAAGTACACCGCGTGAGCCGGGCCGGCCCCGAGGGCCATCGCTCCAATACCGCGATAAAACCCGGCAACGCCTTCGGATTTAAGTATAGACTGAACGGCGTGACGAATGCCAACGGACTTGATTGGGCAAAACCCTACGGCTTGCATTTGGGTCTTGACAGTGTCGACGGGGAACATTGCCATGTGCTCCACCATGCCGGCGATGGATCCGGCGACCATGAACTCCCAGAAGCGGAGCCCGTCATGAGTAGTGGATACTTCCTGATTTCGGTGATAATCCGGCGGCTGCGTCACCGGTAGAAGGTCCGGCTTCTGAAATTCGGCGGAGACATTGGTGGCCATGGATCAGAGACGAAGGGAAAAGAAGGATTAGGGAATAAGATACGAATATTCGGATACCTGTTTGGGTAAGGCTGATATGGGTCTATGCCATAAAATCTAGTAGATCTGAAATTCTCTCCACATTTCATTAGCAATACTATCATTTTAACTCTAATATAGGTCTATAATTTCATTTGATAATATACATTATTACTTGAGCCCTATTTTTTTTTTTTTTTTTTTTCATTTTTTACACATACTAGTTTAGTTATAGTAATGTTGATGTATTATTTTAATTGCACTTCAGGTTATTTGACAATATATGTTATTGTATGGCTCTGTATTTTTGTTTCATTTTCCATGCACATTAGTTTCGTTATAGCAATAATAAAGTATCATTTTAATTATACTACAGTTTCATTGGACAATAATGTGCTCTATTTTTTTAGTTTTATTTTCCACACACACTAGTTTCATTATAATAATACTAAAGTAGTATTTTAATTCTACTACAGTTTCATTCGACGATCACGATCCAAAGAGCGATGTGTGGACCATGGTCCATTGTATAACAAATGGGAGTTTAGAGAAAGGATAATTATGTTTGAAAAATTTGTGGATTGCTTAATAATATTTCAGAACAGTAATTGTAACACATAGACTTTTAACGTAGTTCGAGGTTAAAGACACTTTTAAACAATAGACTTGATCTATGTATTGTAACCTACCTCTCGTACCACTCCTTGTGAACGTATAGTGGTATAAAAACACTTATACTTTTCTCTCAATACACTGAACTCTCAAGACAGTATATGATAAGTTTAGTGCATGCTTGACCTCTTAGGATGGAGGGCTTAAATTTATGTAGCCTTTAACAGTTTCCTTCCTTCCTTGATTTTATGGGAATGTGATTTCTTCTTTGTCAATGATTTGTAATGTGTGTTTTTTTTTTTTTTTTTTTACTTGTCTTGCTTGTCCTTGTACTTTGATTGTGATTGGGATAGGATTTTTTCTTTGTTCACTTCTTTGACCAATCTTCGTAGTTCTTGTATCCTAGTAGGTTTGGAATAATGCTTTTTGTTAATAATTTTAGACAACACTATTTTGGGCCAACAATTTTCTCCCTTTGTCAAAATTTTGGCAAAAACTTTATTCTTTTAATCTCCCCCTTAATTTTCAATAGTTATGGAGTGCACCCTGCATGGTGCACACGGTTGCAAAACGACGTCGTTTTGACTAAAAACGCGCGTCCCATTTAAAAAAAAAAAATCAGTTTCGATTTCCCTCAACAACATTATGTTGTTCATTCATTGTGGATATTTAGTTCATTCATTGTGGATATTTAGTTCATTGATTGTGAATATTTAGTTCATTCATTGTGGATATTTAGTTCATTTATTGTGGATATTTAGTTCATTTATTGTGGATATTTAGTTCATTCATTCTGAATTTTGTGTTATTCATTCACTGTGGATATATAGTTATAAATTGAGTGAATTTCATTTTTGGTCCTACTGTTATAGGGCCGTTTCCAATTTTAGTCCACCTTAATTTTTTTTGCCACTTTATAACCACTATTATTGAATGTGTTCCACTTTTAGTCCCACCGTTAGTATTTTCATCAATAGGCCGTGTAATCTAGGGGTATTTTGACCTTTCTTCTCATCCAAGACTATGTTTGACTAAAGAAATGAGAACATTAAACCTAAAACCTAAAAAACCTCGCCGGCCCATGTTGGAACGTTGGCTTCCCATTCTCGTTGTTCGAAGAGCCATCTTCAAATATCGGAGGAGGAGGACGAAGCGCCAGGATTAAAAGAGAAGAGACAAACATAAAAAAACCAAAATACCCTTTGATTATACGGCCTCTTGATCGAAATATTAACGGTGGACTAAAAGTGGAACACATTCAATAACAGTGGTTGTAAAATGGCAAAAAAAATTAAAGTGGACTGAAATTGGAAAAACCCCTATAACAGTAGGACCAAAAATGAAATTCACTCTTATAAATTTTTGGATATATAGTTATGAAGTTGTGGATATATAGTTAATGAATTTGTGGATATATAATTCAAATTATGCACAGGAGGGGAAAGGCTAGCAGTGGCAGATTGCCTGCAGGTTGACCAAGCCCCAAATTTTGGAAAATACCTGGGTCTTCCATCGTTTGTGGGAAGAAATAAGAAGGCAGGTTTCGCTTATATAGAGGACAAAATCAGGCAGAGGATGGAATCAGGGAATAAAAAACTGCTATCACAGGCTGGTAAAGAAGTCTTACTAAAGAGTGTGGCACAGGCGATGCCTACTTTCACAATGGGTATATTTCTTTTACCAGACTCAGTCACTTTGTCCATTGAGAGAACTATGAATAGCTATTGGTGGGGTAGTGGAGCAGACAAGAAAATACATTGGAAGGCTTGGGATAAACTGTGTGTCCCCAAGAATTATGGTGGTCTGGATTTTAAGGATCTACGGAAGTTTAACTTGGCAATGTTAGGAAAACAGGCTTGGCGTTTTCTAACAAATCCAAACACATTGGTAGCAAGAATGTATAAGGCACGATATTTTCCGACTACCTCTTTTGTGGATGCAACCATTGGAAACTGTCATAGTTATTGCTGGAGGAGTATTATGGCAGCACATGATATTGTTGTGGCTGGAGTAAGGCGAAGAGTGGGGAATGGAAGAACAACTTTGATATGGGGACATCCCTGGTTGCCTGATGATCCAAGCCCGTTGGTACAGACAGAAATGCCAATACAGTTGAGAGATGCGCCTGTTGCGGGACTAATTGATCAACAAACAAATACCTGGGATCCACATATCCTATCAGATCTATTTATCCTAGAAGATGTGAGTAGAATTTTAATGATCCCTATGAGCCCAGATTATGAGGACTCATGGTATTGGTTGGGGGACCCAAGGGGAATATATTCAGTGAAAAGTGCTTACAGGAAACTGGTGGGTGATTATACATATGCCCAAGGAGCTTTTGATAAATGGGCAACTATATGGAAATTAAAGGTCTCACCCAAATGGAAAACATTTTTGTGGCGGGCAATTTGTGATATTCTCCCTACCCTGAACAATTTGATTATAAAGAGGGTGGAAGTGGAACCAACATGCATTATGTGTGGTGTGGCTCATGAGAATATTATGCGTGCATTAATTCTTTGCAATTATTCTAGACTTGTATGGGATGTCACATGCTTACCTATTATGAATGTTGTTACGGATTCTTTCTCCTCATGGATTATGGGTGTGTTGACAATTTCAACAGAGGAGCAATTTGGTTTGTTGTTGGCCGTGTTATATCATCTGTGGAAGGCCCGCAATAGGGCGGTCTGGGAACATTCCTCCTGCATCCAGCAACCCTGCGCCGGCAGGCCGAGGCAGCCCTCCACGCCTACCAGCAAGCCCGCTCGACGACTCACGGACCAAGCGCCGCAGCTGCACCGCCCATCACGCCGCATACACGCCCTCTGTGCTTCATCGATGCTGGTTTCAAGACAAACACTGGCGAAGCCACTTACGGAGTAGTTTTGTTAGCAGCGGACGGAACTTTCATTGCAGCAACAAATGGTATCTTGCCAATTTGTTTCTCACCGCTTATGGCAGAAGCCGCAGCCTGTAAGGAAGCTTTATCTTGGTTAAGAGAGAGGAATATTATGACGGTTGATCTTCTTTCTGACTGCTCAGAGTTATGCAGCATCCTACATCACGCCTCGACGGCAATTTTATCCTACGCTGGAGTCATGATAGACCATTGTAGACTATCTATGGCTTCATTTACTTATTGTTCTATCAGTTTTATTTCTAGACAGCTTAATTTATCTGCGCATACTTTAGCATCATTAGCTTTTACTCAGGATAACTCTATGTACTGGGATGCTATCCCTCCTGACTCTATTGCTTCGTTGATTATATAGTACAATCGATCCGGTTGGTTTTCAAAAAAAAAATCAAATTATGCACAAAAAAATGCTATTGCCGGGAATCGAACCTGAATTTTTTTTTAAGTGGGACGCGCGTTTTTAGTCAAAACGACGTCGTTTTTACAACTAGTGCACACGGTTGCACAGCATAATTTGTGCTTAATTTTATTCCTTGCTTTGTCTTTTTGGGCTTGGACTTTTTTTTTTTTTTTAAGGAAGACTTGTCTTTGTACTAGGCAGTCTAAATATATACTGATCCTGTTCTTTTGGGGTTTGACTTTCACTGGGTTTGTCCAGTGTTCTTTCTTGGAAGCTTGATAATTCTTCTAAACTTTTGGAGAAGGGCTTACAATACTTGTATTATTTTTATTTATAGTCTATCAAAAAAAATCTTCAAAGCTAATCAATTTTCTTCTTCTTCAAAACAAAAATCTAAGTTCTCATCGAGTCATCAGAAAACACAACTAACAAGTCACAAGTTTCAAAAGACATTTGTGGAACATTCATGGAACTTCTCTTCTTCTCCCCATTTTTTGCTAAAAATTTGCTCATTCAAGTATTATTTCTATCAAACAGTTTAACCAATGCTATTTGGTATGCCACTTAACCACTGCTCATTCAAGTATTATTTCTATCAAACAGTTTAGCCAATGGCATTTGGTATGCCACTTAACCATTGGCATCTTGCGTTAGTCGAGGATGTTGAAATATGTTTCTACTTTCTTCTTCTAACCCCCCTATTTCTCCTTTCTTTTTCGGTTTCCTCGTCAAATTAGTTGTAGCTCAGTTTACGACAAACATAATTTCCCAAAACTAGTTATTTGGGACAACATAATCCTGTCCCCCAAGGTTCGTGCATGATGGAATTGGATTATTTGGTTCTTTATAGGGCACGATAATTGATCTAAAAGAACAACATAAGATGTTGCTAGTAACCAGAGAAAATGTGTAACTAAAGGATAACCAACCTAGATTTCAAGATGGTAAAGATTAGAGAAAATAACACGCATCTAAAAACTGAAAATAGTGATAAAGCATGAGAAGGCAGAATCATATATGTAAGAAAAAATGGTCAAACCAGCCCCCTAAGTGAATCAGATAGTGCAATTGACCCCCCCTAAAAAAAATAAATAAATATTGCGTGAGTCCCCTAAATCGGTACAATAAGTCAATTAAGTCCATTTGTTCAC